TAACTTCTGTTTGGGAGGCGTGAGGAAAGTACTTTTAACTTTTTACATAGACTTTAAATTGGACAGAAGATTTAAATAGAAGTAAATATATGAAACAAACACAAAGAGATAAAATGTTCCCTCGTGGTCTTACAAGCACAATTAACTTCCTTCCACTGAGCACTGAATGAAAAGTAGACATATATACACACTGGTTTGCAAAGACATACAGTATGTGAAGTGTTTCTAATCAGTATAAGATCATGAGCTGCATGAGTGTCAGGCAAGCACACATGGATATCAACACTTTGTGTGCACAACTCAACAACAGTGATATTTGTATGTACATTAACATTCATTTAGAAAATGATTTTATACAAATGAGGAACATTACAAACAATTTATTATAAAGCCAAAGATATTCATAGCACACAATTGCATTAGCCTAAATAATTTAGATGAGTAAACAAACTAGACCCGAGGTAAAAATGCAGAAACATATCATTATAGGAAAAAAAAATAAAATTACATTACTGTTGAGGAGAAACAGCAAGAGTTTCCCCTTGTGTGCACAACTCAACAACAGTGATATTTGTATGTACATTAACATTCATTTAGAAAATGATTTTATACAAATGAGGAACATTACAAACAATTTATTATAAAGCCAAAGATATTCATAGCACACAATTGCATTAGCCTAAATAATTTAGATGAGTAAACAAACTAGACCCGAGGTAAAAATGCAGAAACATATCATTATAGGAAAAAAAAATAAAATTACATTACTGTTGAGGAGAAACAGCAAGTGTTTCCCCTATAAGTTCCCATGTGATCCATTCCAGGTCAGCGTAAGTATTCCTTACTAATTGTTAATGCAATATGCTATAATAACGATCATTGCTTATTAAAGGAATAGTTCACCCAAAAATTAAAATTTGCTAAAAAAATGTACTGACCCTCAGGCCATCAAAGATACAGACAGATGAGTTTGTTTCTTCACAATGACACAATGGTTCATGCAGGTGTAGTGTAATTCCAGTTGCATGCAAATCAAGATCAGCTATTATATTGCAATGGACTTATGTATGTTGTTGTTGCATCTGGGCAATAGGGTTTCATCTATTCAGTTTTCTTTTCTTGTTTGTTCTTTTCAGAAGTTGTATTGCTGGCATGCGTGATCTGTATCTATGTATGTTACAGATTTGCATCTGGTCTCAGTTACAAGAGACATAAACAAAAATGAGAAATTCTAAAGAAAAGATAAAGTAGCTTATTCTCTCCCTATTCACTTGAGGGCTGCGTGACAGCTGGCAGTTTCTCTGATTTAGACCCAATCCCAATTCTATTTTATACCCCTTCACCTACGCCTACCCCTACGCCTTCCCCTTGTCCCTTGAAACAGAGTGTCAAGGGGTAGGGGTGAAAATATTCCACTAAGAATTGGGACACCACTACTACACCATTACACGTCATCATACGTCGTCTAGCTCCTACAATACACCCACCTATACTGGTGTGCTGGTGTGCATTAGAGCCTTACCGTTCTATATTAATGCGCTGCTTGAAAAGTAGACATATATACACACTGGTTTGCAAAGACATTGTCACGCCCATGGACAGTCTTGTGTTTTGTTCCTCATGTTCTCTCTTTGACCCAGTTTCTCCTGTGTGTAGCATTTGGACCAATCAGACACACCATTTTTCATTAGATTTAACAAATCAATTATTCATTAGATTAACAAATAGTCACAGACCCCTCACCCAATAAACATACTGGGTGCCAGGATGTCTGTGAATGACACCAGGCCCATGGCAACCATGACAATTCAGCCAGATCAGATAAACTTTACAACCTAAAAACGACACCAGGCCCCTGGTTACCATGGCAACCAGGACAATTCAGCCAGATCAGATAAACTTTACGACCTAAAAGTATGTAGAGAGAATCTTCCCCCCTACTCAATTCTCTCTAAAACAGACACATACTGCTATAGGAAACGACGACTTTCATTAATTCATAGACAAATTTTTCTATGAACTTCCTATCATGCATATCCCCAGGTCGTTGTGTATGATTACTATCTTCTTGTATATGGTCTTTTGTATTGTATACAGAGACAAAAAGTCGTAAAAAATTTCCCTCCAAAGGTACCATTCCTCATTGGCTCACTCAAATCCCAGAGGTGTGACCTCGATAGAAGATAAAGGCCTCACATCAGTGACCCGCCTTCAGTCTGCGATTCTGTTAGTTTCTGAGAAGATGAGGATGTGAGCTAGAAACTCTTCTGCGCCAGGCTTCGGCCTTTTCTTTACATTCACCAACGATCCTTGGATCTCAGCCGATGTCTCTCTTAGCTCTTCATCACCATCATCTGGGAGAAAACTCTCCCGACCACGACAGAGTCAGAATAACATTTTTGGAGTTCATCACTCTTCAAACCCGGAAGAACGTGATCACGACTCCTACACCACCGAACCTCCAAACCATCAAGACTTTCATCTGAGACTGCATCCAGAT